TAATGGTCATAAAGATTCTTGACTTTTTAAACTGCTTCTAGAGATAACATCAACCCTGTGAAACCTGAGGCTAGTTTTTGAGATATCTTCCAGGCCCTGCTTCCCAGTAGAATGGCTGACAGTGGCCCAACCAAGGAACTCACTCATCTGGGATTGGGACCTCCACCCAAGATCTGACTCAGCAAAGAAGACTATATCTGCAGCCCTAAGGTTCCACCTAGAATCCAGCAATGTAGCAGACCCAATTTCACAGACTTTTGCCTGCCAAACTTTCTTTAGAAAACCTTTCTCCCAAATTCTTCCAAGATTCCTGCATGGTGTCTTGGATATCAAATTCTTTCTCTGCGCTAAACCCTGCTGTCTCAGTATATTGTCTCATCTTGAGCAGTGGGCAATGAACCTGACTGGGCTGTCCCACTAGGAACAATAACAAGCAACAAGTGGACATGGTAATAAAAAGTCTCTCATCACAGAAAAGCACGAGTCTCAATGGTTGCACTGTTGAATTGTACCAAGTATTCAAAGAAGCCTACTACCAATCCTACTTAACTATTTGAAATACTCAAGGAGGTAGGGAAAATCCCTCTCATTGTCCAAATACTGTAACACGCTGATAGCGAAACCAGACAAAAACAGAACAAAAAAAGAATATTATAGCCCCAGAACTCAGATGAACATATTTTCAACAATTTTCAGAAAAATGCTAGCAAACTAAATTCAACAAAGTATTAAAAAAGATTATTCCTCATGATCAAATGGGATTCATTCAAAGATGCAAGGAAGGTTTAACAAAAGTCAATCAATGTGAGACATCATATCAACAGAATGGAGGCCAAGAACCTTAGGATCATTTCAAGTGATCTAACAAAGCATTCCATAAAATTCAACCTGCTTTATGGTAAAAACTCCCCAAAACCTGGCTATAGAAGGTACTTGCCTCAGCACAATAAAAGACACACGTGACAGACCACAGCTAGTATCATACCGAATAGGGAAAAACTGAAAACCTTTCCTCTAAGATCCAGAACAAGACAAGGGTGCCATTTTCACCACTGTTACCCTACACAGTGTTGGAAGTTTGAGTGAGAGAAATCAGACAAGAGAAAGAAACCAAGAGCATCTACATTGGAAAGAAAGAAATCAAAATATCTGTGTAAAGATGGTATGATCTTATATCCAGAGAAACCCAAGACTCTACCCAAAAGCTATTAAAATGGATACAGAAATTCAGTAGTGTTGGAGGATACAAAATCAATATACAATCTTGCTAGCATTTCTATACGCCAAAAGTAAATAATCTGAAAAAGAAACCAAGAAATTCATCCTATTTATAATGACCACAATAAAACAAAATACATAGGAAGAATCTTAACCAAGGAAGGGAAGGACCTCTATAAGGAAAACTATAAAACATTGATGAGAGGGGTTGAAGAGGGCTCAAAAATGGAAAGCTATTCCATCCTCGTGTATTGGAAACTGCAGTAATGTTGAAAGGTCCACTCTACCCAAACCAACGTATACATTCAATGCAATCCTCATCAAAATACCAATGACATTCTACATAGAAGTAGAAAAAATAACCCTAGTATTTCAAAAGGCCTAGAATAGCCAAAACCATCCTGAGCAAAACAAACATACTGGAGCAATCACATTAACTGACTTAAATTAACAGAGTTGTAGTGAATAAAACCGTATGGTACAGAAGTAAGCACACACACATAGACCAACAGAACAGAATAGAGAAACCAGAAATAAATTCACACAACTGTATTGAACTTATTTTCAAGAAAGTTGCCAAAACCTTTCAGTGGGGAAAAGGTAGTCTCTTCCATGAATGGTGTTGGGAGAACTGGATATCCACAGCTACCCACGTGCAGAAGGCTGAAACTACACCCTTATCGCTCACTCTGGACGAAAGTGGAACAAAATAGGTTAAAGACTTAAAGCTATGACCTGAAGTTAGGAAACTACTGAAAAAAAAAAAAAAAGAATGAAAGAAACAACTTTGGGAAAATGCTTCAGGGAATTAGTATAGGCAAGGACTTGTTCATCTAATACCCACACAGCAGAGCCAACCAAAGCACTATTGGAAGATGGCATCATATCAAACTAAAAAAGCTTCCATACAAAAAGGAACATTCTACAAAATGAAGAGACAGTCCACAGAATGGGAGAAAATATTTGCAAATACTCTTCTGATGAAGAATTAACAACTTAATAGCATATGAAGCTCTGTCATTCAGTAGAAAAATTCAAATGATCTAATTAAAATGGGCAAAAGATCTGAATAGACATTTCTTGAAAGAAGACATACAAATGGTCTGCAGATGATGAGAAAACACTCAACATCATTACTCATCAGAGAAATGCATATCAAGACTACAATGACATCTGGGCACAACGGCTCAGGCCTGTAATGCCAGCTCATGGGACGCCAAGGTTGGTGGATAGCCTGAGCTCACAGGTTCGAGACCAGCCTGAGCCAGAGCGAGACCTCATCTCTAAAAATAAAAATAAAAATAAAAAGACTACAATGAGATATCACCCGACCCAACTTTAAAGGATTTTTTTCAAAATGGCAGGCAACAGTGACTGCTGAGTATTGGAGAAAGATGAACCGTCACACACTGTGAGTGGGAATACAATTAGTGCAAGCGCTGTGGAAAACAGTATGAAGCTTTCTCAAGAAACTAAAACTAGACTGCCACACGATCCAGCATTTCCATCACAGGGCATAGACCCAAGGAGAAGAATTCAAGATATTGGGAAGCTATCTGCATCCCTATGTTTACTGCAGCAGTATTCACAATGGCAAGGATGTGGAACCAACCTGTCTGTCTGTCCATGGATGCCTGGATAAAGAAATAGTGGCACAGACATGTACATATTAATATATAATGGAATGGTATGTAGCCACAATCAAGAATGAAATCCTGCCTGGCATTTGAGTCAACCAGGATGGAACCGGAAATCATTATGTTAAAGGAAATAAGACAAGCACAGAAAGTAAAGTCCACCTGTGGACCGGGTGGTGTCAGCTTGATGTCACCAAGCTTTGTTGCTACTCAAACGTGGGAGCTAAATATTCAAAACAGCAGATCTCAGGGAGGCAGAGTAGAGTGGTGGCTGTAAGAGACTGTAAAAGGTAAGTGGGGAGGAGGGAAGAAAGTGAGGATGGTTAATATGCCAAAAATATACTTAGAAAAACAATGTATGATAGCACAACAAGGTGAGTTAAAACACGAGTTAGGGTATACTTCAAAATAACTTAAAGACCAGAACTGAAATGTTCCTAATACAAAGAACTATTAATACCCGAGGTGATGGATACCTCAATTACCCTCATTTGATTAATTCCCATTGTGTGTTTCAAAATACCACATATACTCTATAAAGATATGCACCAACATGTATCCATAATAGTTAAAATAAATTCTTTTAATAAAAGAAAAGAGGAATGTTTCTCTGAAAATATATGTCTCCTTTAACTACTGGGATTCATGTGTCCCTGAATCAAAGGAGCCCAGAAGGCAAAGGTGGTGTACATGGAGGGACAAAGGGACTGATCAATGATCTCCTGGTGCAAAAATTTCAGGACCCATTATGTCCTTCCTTAAAGCAGCAGCTCATGGAAGAAATTACCATGTTTTCCCCAAAATAATACCTATCCCAAAAATAAGCCCTAGCGGGATTTCTATGCATTTGTTAAATGTAAGCCCTACCCTGATAATAAGACCTAGTGATGGGCGTGGCTATGCAGCGCATCTGCATAGCCATACCATGCATTTCTGCATGGAGTGGTAAGGAAAACTGGAATACCTTTTATCTGCCACAGCTCCTTTCTCCAAGCCATTCGCATTTGAGTGGGTGCATGTGGTAACTGCGGTCACAGGCATCCTATTGCGCAGGTGTGAATGGCTAGGGGAAAGGAGTTCATGCATCACTAGCACCAGACCCACCAACAAGGTCAGCTCATGCTGTCAGGTTGCAGAAGAAGATAACTTAACTGTATTTGAATAAATGCAGATTATTGTATTACACCTAATAAAAATAAGACATACCCTGAAAATAAGCCCTAGTGTGTCTTCTTCAGAACAAATACATATAAGACAGTGTTTTATTTTAGGGGAAACACAGTATGTGTGTTTCCTAAGAAACATGAATAGAGTGATGGGACAATTGATATAAGAGCCGCTGAGATAGCCCACAGCCAAGGTGGGGCCTGGGTGAGTGGGTGTCCCAGTATCTATGGGCTGGGTGGTGTCAGCATCTGTGCTACTGCCAACCTCAGACCAACTGTGCTGCTTTCCACTCAGCCTGACATCAGAATCCCAGATTATCTGAGAGCAGACAAAATCCACAAACAGCAGCAAGCAGCTAGAAAATACAAGTGAGGAAACATCCTCCTCTGTTGGCTAAAAATACTTCCTACAAACGCTTAGGAACAAGGTTCACAGCATCTCAGTCAGGCTTGTCTAAGAACTGTGTATGCTTGAAAAAAGAGGTGAGCAAAAACGTAAGTAAATGATGAACACCAAACATTTCTGGATGGAAAGCTCAATTTTTAATGTCAATTTTAAATTACCTTTTAAATGTAAAGCACTACTTAAAACATTCCAACAGGATTTTATATGAGAGTTCATAACATTGAAATGGCAAAGACTTGATAAAAGAAATGATTAAGTATATCAGCAGAACAATGTATTAAGAGTCAAATTATTTTCATATCTATAAATGATTATAAGTTTGTGAGTGAAAGTGAAGTGTAAAATTATCCATAATTATAGGTCAAAACAATATGGGAATCCTCATTTGTGTAGAAACTAAGGAATCCCTGGAAAGTTCTATTTCAGCAGATGGCAGATGACATAAAGATCACTACGTTAATATGCCTTCATCAGTGAGATTTTGCAATATGGTGCAGTGACAGTCAAAGACAGAGTGTATAATTTGATGGATTTCCTGCAGAAGGTGCTTTCTTAGGATTCTGTGTGCTGAACTTAATTTGATATTTCATTGATATCCCAGAGGAACTGCAATGGAAAGTCCTTCATCTGCTCTTGGAAAATCTTGTCAAATCTTTCATTCTGCTCAACAGTCATATGATTTTTCCAGTCTCCAATGGTTCCTGGTAGAAAATCATAGAGAAATAGCTTAGGTGAAGTTTGTGGTGGGGTGGGAAAAAAACAAGCATCTAATTCAGTGTTGGGAGAAACATTTCACCCACTTTTGTTTTGCTGCCCACGAAGCTCCTCGTCAGTCCTCCACCTGGCTAAGACCCTTCAATCTCCTACTTCATGGCAAAAAGGTAAACACACTCATCATTGTAATTGTACTAGAAATAGAGACAATCACCACCCACCTTCTCAGGATTAGCCTGGGAAATTGTAAATTATCATTGTTATTACAACTTGGTCACTAATTTGTTTCAGGGTCATGCCAGTTACCGTATTGTGGAGAAGACTCATGAAAATTCTACAAGATCAGACATCACTGAGATAATACTTAGGAGCACATGGTTGCTCAGGAAGGTTATATGGTTCATGACAGAGCTGAAATTAGTCCACCTTTATCCCGTTTAAATCTGAAATGATCTCAAAATAAATTGAAAAGGATACATAGCTGGTGTGTGGACAGAAACTGATAGAAAGACAGGCACGAAAAGAAGTACTGATTTGAAAACCATGCTGAACTGCAGACACACTGAGAACTGAAACACACAAGGGAGGCTGAAGGAACCACACAGACACCTCCTGTGGGAGTTAAAGCCCAAGCCCAGACGGTCACGTAGACAAAATCAAGGAGAGACTGTGTCTCTGCAAGTAAGTACAGGGCTCATTTCCACAAAGAACTTTGCTCACTCTTAGTTTTCTTATATCCATTTCTGTCTCTCCTTGTCAGGGTTTGCTAAAGACACAGAAACACAGAAAACTGTCTCCTTTCAAATATAAAATGCAAATGGCTCATGGAGCTGGACCACAGGATCTGGAGACATTAGGGTGTGGTGGGACTAATGAAAGTGGGCATGTCCCTCCTTCGGTCAGCTCAGTGTTACCAGTGCTGAAGATATTATAAGAGAGGGAGAATAGATAAACCTAAGAGAAGGGCTCTTAAGAAGACAGGAGCGTGGCCTACAGACATATGAAAAAATGCTCATCATCATTAATCATCAGAGAAATGCAAGTCAAAACTACTTGGAGATATCATCTAACTCCAGTAAGATTAGCCCACACCACAAAATCCCAAAACCAGAGATGCTGGCATGGATGTGGAGAAAAGGGAACACTTCTACACTGCTGGTGGGAATGCAAACTCATATGTCCCTTCTGGAAAGATGTTTGGAGAATACTTAGAGAACTAAAAATAGACCTGCCATTTGATCCTACAATTCCTCTATTAGGTATATATCCAGAAGATCAAAAATCACATTGCAACAAAGATATTTGTACCAGAATGTTTATTGCAGCCCGATTCATAATTGCTAAATCATGGAAGAAGCCCAAGTACTCACTGATGCATGAATGGATCGATAAATGTGGTATATGTTTATGATGGAATATTATGAAGCCATAAAGAAAGATGGAGACTTTACCTCCTTCATGTTTACATGAATGGAGCTGGAACATATTCTTCTTAGCAAAGTATCTTAAGAATGGAAGAAAAAGTATCCAATGTACTCAGCCCTACTATGAAACTAATTTATAGCTTTTATATGAAAGCTATAGCTCAATTATAGCCCAAGAATATGGGGACGGGGGAGAGGGAGGGAGTGGCATGGGGGAGGATGAGTGGAGGAGGGTGATTGGTGGGACCACACCTATGGTCCATCTTACAAGGGTATATGTGAATCTTTCTAAATGTACAATATAAATGTCTTAACAATAACTGGGAAAATGCCATGAAGGCTATGTTGACCAGTTTGGTGAAAATATTTCAAATTGTGTGTAAAACCAGCACACTATATCCCGTGACTGCATTAATGTACACAGGTATGATTTAATTAAAAAAAAAAAACCTAAGAGAAGGAAAGGAATTGCCAATTTAGAGAAATACAAAGCCAATGTTTATTGCTTCTTGATATAAAGTGTATAACTCTATGAAATTGAAACCTATATCCTTAATTCTGCACAATACTAAGTTGGCAAACATGAAATATAATTTTGAATATTTGTGTAATTATAATATTTTAACATTAAATTTTTATATTTTTCTGATAAATATTCCTTTTTTTTTTAGTGTTTGAAGCAGATTACATTGATAGCATTGGTTAGGTAAACTTCCTCTTATCATTGTGTCCCTCCCCCAAAAGGTGTGTCACACACTGTGACCCCCCACAACCTCCCTCCTTCTGTCTCTCTTCTCTCCTCTTGTCCCTTTGATCACCCAGTACTAGGTCATTAATTGTCCTCATATCAGAATTCAGTATTTTAACATCTTTTCTTTTTTTTTTTGAGACCGAGTCTTACTTTATCACCCTGGGTTGAGTGCTGTGGTGTCACAGCTCACAGCAACTCCCAACTCCTGGGCTTAGGCAATTCTCTTGCCTCAGCCTCCCAGGTAGCTGGGACTATAGGCACTTGCCACAACACTGGGTTATTTTTTTGTTGCAATTCGGCCAGGGCTGCGTTCGAACCCACCACCCTTGGTATATGGGGCTGGCGCCCTACCCACTGAGCCATAGGCACTGCCCAACATTTTTAAATCTAACAATTGGATAAAGAATCTATGCATTTTAAAACTCATTCACCAGAGGCCAAATAAATAAAATAGAACTATAAATTTATTTAAAGTGGGATCCCAATTTAATAAAAGACTTGTAATAGTCCATTCAGATAATACCAGATCCAATGTGTGTCATTGACTGACCCCTGTCAGAGAAGCAGGATGAATCAGGGAGATGCCAGAGTGGCCCGTGATGGCTAACGGGCTTGTCACTGCTTCACTGTCAGGTGCTGGGCCTTATTTAGGAGGGGAATGCCTCCAACATGAAGTGAGCACCTATTTGGTGGCAGACAGACACTGTGCTTGGCATTGGTAGATTTTCACAGGTCATTCAAAGACCTTGTGATGTCAGGGTACTCATTACATTCCCCGTAAGACCCAGATAAGAAAGTTTCATGGAGAGCCCCAAGCAGAAAGCATGGAAAAGAAACCCGTAGAGAAGTGAAGAGGCCCAGGAGGGCTTCAGTGTGTGAAACTTGGGGAGGAAAATACAATTAGCTTCATCTGCACCACAGTGAAAAGTACTGCATTCAGTGCCTTACTGCTGACCTTTACCTTTGCGAAGGAAATGGCCTTCTCTTCTAGTTACCCCAACCCGGGTGTTTAGGACATTTTCATAATTTGCTAGTGGGTCATCCTTCATGCTCTCAAATGTGGCCTGTCTCACCACATCATCCACGGCCTCCCCACTCAGATCTTTCCCCAGAAATTTGCAGAGTTTTAACACAGAACTTCTGAGATCCTGAAACAAATCACAGTATAATAAGTGATGCACGTTGTTGCAGAGGTGACACAGGCAAGGGTCGCAGGTAAGCATTACTGTGGTTGTGAAAAATGTAGGTGCTTCTGCTGGTCATAAATTCTTAGTTGGACAGTGTGACCTGACTTTCTTATTCCTTGCTGACAAATCATTCAAGTGCCTGCTGTTTGAGAGCTCAATTCACTAATTGTACATTTGTCACTGTCTCTGTGTTCATGGCAAACCCGTGGGGTGTTCCTGCTGTCTGTCAGGCACTGGCCTGGGTGATGGTGCAAGTGAACACAGGGATAGAAGGAAATCAGTGTTGGGAGTTGAGTCCAGGGATCCAGGGCAAGACAGTTGTTGTCCAAGAAATTTACAGAAAAGAAGAGAAATGTAAGGGTGTGGGGCAGGACACAGATATAAATGGGTTCTTATCTAACAAAAACAATCAGTGTAACTTGGTTCTGTGTACCCTCAATGAATCCCCAACAATTAAAAAAAATAAGAGAAATTTATTTGAGGTCTTGAAGGAAAAATAAGAATTTCCCAGGTAGACAACACTGGAGATGTGCAGTCTGAGCACAAGGGAACAGTGCACAGTAGGACAGTTGTGTGGCATCATGAGCTACGAGGCCTCAGGAAAGTCAGAAACTTGGCATCCTTGGGGCTTGGTGGAAACAGGCCTGGATGAGAAAGGAGGAGACAGGACTGGAGAGAGAAGGGCCAGATGTAAGGAGGGCTGCAACTTGGCACATGGACCCGCACATCGGATCCTATCTTGGTCATTCAAACAGAAAGAGGAAGTCAACTAGAGGCCTCTGAGACTGATTTTCCTTCTGGAGGGAAGGTGGGAACAGAGCGGGGGAAAAGCCCTTTTGGTCCAGTCCCTCTCTTCCTGCATTAGGTGCTTCCCGGGAGGACGTGAGTTTGGAGCCCTGACGACCATCCTACAATCATGAGGAGAGACCTCACTGACACAGCAAGTGGGACGAAGGGGGAAGGTGGGAAATGCTGGAGACCTTCCTGACGTCCCTGAGCTGTCACGCCCCGCCTGGGGACAGCCTGCTCTGCATTTCAGTGATGAACAGCAGATATCTTGTGTTTCAAGCCATTTATAGTTGACTATTCCTGGGAAGAACATTCTCCCAGTGAAACACAGATGTTTCTTGTTTGTTTAGACACATTCGTTTTTCATTTGGAAACGGCTGGCTTTTAATAGATTATGCTGAGATACCTGCTCTTCTCCCTACAATGATTTCCTTTAATTTATCAGGTAATGCTTAAGGGGCAATAATGCAGAGAAAATTTTCCCAAGAACTGATCCTATTGTGATGAATATAAAATATACAATTCTAAAAGAATTAATAAATGGGCAGCACCTGTTGCTCAGTGGGCAGGGTGCCGGCCACATACACCGAAGCTGGTGGGTTTGAACTTGGGCCAGCTAAAATCAACAATGACAACTACAACAAAAAAATAGCCAGATGTTGTGGCAGGTGCCTGTAGTCCCAGCTACTTGGGAGGCTGAGGCAAAGAATTGCTTAAGCCCAAGAGTTTGAGGTTGCAGTTAGCTGTGATGCCATGGCACTCTACCAAAGGGTGGCACAGTGAGACTCTGTCTCGAGAAAGAAAAAAAGAATTAGTAAATGTACAAAATGTAATTAATACTGAATGACTTTGAGAGGTTAATAATCTAAATTTAAAAAAATGAAACTTATGCAGGCCTATAAACACACAGAAACAATCCCTCAAAACTAACATTTTTTTAAAGGAAAGTTTATATCATTAATTATAAATGAAAAAGAGATACAGCCATGATACTAAAGAAAAAAAAATCCCATGTGAAACTTAGTCTTGGATCTCAAATTCCAGATTGTTCTGTAGGTGTTGGGGGCATGAAATACACGTGCATTAGCCCAGGGTGGGTTAGAACTTAGATCCGATCACAAACGCCAGCTTCTCTCACCTTCTTCATCTCTTCGTACGCCATGAACTGAATATTGAAGTGGCTTCTGTGCTCGTACCAGCCTCTGATATGGTCAAACCAAAGGCTTCCCATCACTGTGAAAAGAAGAGATGAGTGATTAGGTAAATACATTGAGAGGGTTGAACAGGTTATCAGTTGTGCAAGGCCTTAGTAGCCACAAAGGAAAGAGACTTCTGTTGTTGATTTCCAGATTTTCCTTGTCACAGGGAACACATATACATGTTACATGGGAAAAGCAAATACCTGTCACCAGGAAAAAATTACACAAATTTAAAGACAATTTAGTCTTTACAAGGGGCCTTTGTATGACCAGAAAAGCAACCTAAAGTGGGGTGAGGTAGGACCACAAAAGGAGAAAAGTTAGGGGAATGATTCCTCTCCCTCCTTCTCCACACACAGCCATTTCCCTCTTCATGAGCCACCACAGGGTTGCAGAGGAGTCACGACCACTCTGCACAGTGGGTCTGAGCCTGAGCTTAGCCTCCCTCAGTGAGATCCTCCTTTGTGTCTCAGCAGGCCTTGCTCCTTTGCACCCAGCTACCTTGGATCCTTAGGAAAGAATGTGGATGGAAACTTTCTTTTTTCTTTCTTTCTTTCTTTCTTTTTTCTTTCTTTCTTTCTTATTAATTGATAGCTGTATACATTTATGCATGCATGGGGTACAGTGTAGTGTTTTCATACACAATTTGAAATACTTTCATCAAGCTGGTTCACATAGCTTTTATGTCATTTGCTTTGTCATTGTGTCAAAACAGTTATATTCTAGTTCTAGAAAAGTTCACTTGTACCCTTGTTAGACAGATATATAGGTGATCTTTCCGGGCACCCTCCCACCACCCAGCCGCCCTTCTCCCCTTCCCTTCTCCACCCCCTCCTCATATTCTTGAGCTAGAATTAAGTTGTATCTTTCATTTGAGAGCTATAAATTAGTTTCATAAAAGGGATGTGTACATTGGATACTTTCAAACAGCCGCCTCTGGGAGGTGCCCCATCAATATGCAATGTCAGAGCACCACCAACTGTGATCTCAACTTAACCTCCCTTCTAAGCTGAGCTAGAACAGACCCGTGTGGACTAATCTGTTCAGACTCTTTTCATGGTTCATTAATTTTGTAGTCTAGAGGAATTTGCATGAATGACAGGACATGGTCAACCAACCCAATCTTACCAGTTGACTTGATAAATTGACCCTCATTCTACTCTATTTCACCACCTTCTTTTCCTCACTCCTACTTCATAAAGCTAAACTACTCACCCAGCACAGCAAATTTAGAATTTGTTTAGTAATATCAGTTACCTTTTCCTTCTAAAAATTGTTTCATAAACTCCTCAATGGTATCTGCAGCTTTAAATATTGGAAGCATGTTTACAAAGTAAAAATATGAGCACATAACATCCTTAGGGTTTCTGTATACGTATATAATCTGCAAAGAAAGAAAGGAATTATTGTTTGGGATGCTTTAATTTACCATCGTTTCATCAGAATACATTCCAGTAGGATTAGACTCATTTTATTAAGTTTCAACAATACCCTGCACATTCTCAGGCCTCTCCTTCATTTTTAGCATTTCCTCTTCATGCTTGGCTTAGTGAGTGTTAATTGTCCTAAAAGACAGATGTCCCATGTTATTGCTTCTTAACTCCCACTTCATTCTCTTGCCCTGAAATCAACTAACTTGCCAATGCATGTTAAAGTGCTTCATAAACAATGTAAATTTCTGAGAATAGGAATAATTTACTAAAATTGTTTCAAATTATATTATAAAATGTATCATTTTGATATCCTCATTGAGCTCCCTGAGAAAAGCACAAGTACTTGGTACACAGAAGTTACTTCTTAAGTACTTTTTGCAGCGACACTATCAAGAAATAGATAATTCGATGTTTTTAATCTTTTTGTCTGGATTTCTTTTTAGGCTAGTCAAGTGAAACAGTGGAACTGGAGAAGGAACATGAAAATCCTTAGCGGAATTAGATCACTCAGACCAGCCCAGAGAATTTTTTAAATTGTCTCTTATAATGAAGTAGAATTAATTATTTCCAAGCAACATAAGTAATCCAATCATATTGCAATACTAAAGATCATCAATATCTACTCTGGACCACATCTAAGTGGCTCATCCTATGTCTGTACAAAATATTCAGGGACTCTAGATAAAGTTGTAGGTCCTATATGTTTGTTGTTAAATGAAATGCATAACTACACTTGCGCCTGTTGAAAAACTTCCAACTCACGGTGGAGAGAAGCTTTCATCCACTTGCCATCTCCCTATGTACTGCCTGGACCTAGCCCTCGTGCTGTGAGTGATATAATAAATCTGAGTGCATCTGAGGGTCTATTCATCCATGCGTGCTCTCCAAATGCAATGGAAGGAGATTCCTTCAGTCATAGGATATCAACAGTGGTTTACGTCTTTGAAAAGAAATGAATGCTCCCCTTGGACTTGAGAAAAAAAGAGGTCCGTTTCCATCCCCTGTAGCAATTCTTTGAGTCTGACAATGACATTGCATCATCCATCCACTTGTTTATGTAAAAATGACACACATAAAAATGATATCACTGAGTTACTTGGGACCCTCTTAGGTAGACAATGACACTTGCTGTTCATCAGGGAAACTGGGAAGAGGAGAGCCTTGAGGAAAACATAAAAAGTACGATTTGGACATTTAAAATTCGAGATAGTTTTTAGATATATAATTGAATATATTAAATCCTTTCTGTCGGTAGAAAGATCGTATTTAACATGGTGTGATTGGGCAACATTACCTAGGGCCTACTACAGAGGGAAGGGAGGAGAAGCAGAATTCAAACAAGCGGGACTTGTCAGCACTGGGACACTGGACGCTGGGGAGACAAGACCACCTCAGCAGGCTATTGTCAGTTAGAGGAAACAGCAAAGAACATTTTGTGAGTAGAAAGGGTATCTATTTTCTCACGGGAAAGCCCGCGATTAGAGTGGAGCAGGTTTGGCTAACTCATCATCCCAGTGTTGTCTTGGAGGATTCAGGCAGGTCTCCTCAAACCATGGCCCATGGGCCACATGCGGCCCGCCAAGGACATTTAGCTGGCCCGCCAGGTGTTTTTGCCACCAGTGCCTGTCCTGCTTAGCTGCTGCCTGTCCTTTTAAACTACAGTACAGCCCTCCATGAGTCTGAGGGACAGTGAACTTGCCCCCTGTTTAAAAAGTTTGAGGACCCCTTATTCAGAGTCTTGTAGCTTTTCTCCTCTGACAAACTAACTCTCCTCCATCTCCATATGGCTTCTCTTTCTTCCCCAGAGCCTATTTAAAGACTGGAGAGACTTCCCCTAGTAGATCCTTGGTAAATGTCTTTTTCTGTGTCATTGGCCAGAACTATGTTACAGTGGGAACACCCCAGAAGGAGTAAAAAGAAAACGGAGTAGCAGCCACATAACCAACCAGGGTCCAGAAGTCACGGTTTAAGTTAAGGTGATTCCTTTACTCATTTATTCATTCAATTGAACTGCCCCCAGGCACTGTTCCACACACTCTGAGCAGTGGAGAACAGACCTCTAGCTCTGTCATGAAGGTTCTAAGTTCTGGCCAGGAAGATTGAAAGTAAATGTACAGACAAATATATATTATGTCACATGGCAGTCATTGTTGTCTATATAGGGAGGTATGTTACAGAAGAGGGTGGCTGAGGTGGGTGGAGGGAAAGATCACAGAAGTCTAAGAAATCAACACCAGGAGGATTGGTAGGGCCTCCTGGGTGAGCCAAATATGGAGCCTGCTCTATACACCTTAAGGAAAGCCTAATTCCAGATAGGAGGGTGTTCTAGAGTGATGTGTTTGAGTACGTATGTATGACTGTTAATGTTTTAATTAGTTCTACGACTTATACAATGGGGAAAGAGACAAGGTGAAAAATAAAATTCAAACATTATAAGAACTCAAATGCCCACTGAAAATGTAAGTATGTAAAATACATTCAATTTCAGATGTTGCTGTTTCCTGAGAGCTCAAGCCGTGTGGTGTCAATGTAAGCAGGCACAATGAAGCATGGAAGGGAGCAGTTCTTTCTCAGCAGTAACAGTATCTCTATTCCTTACTTTGGCTTTTTTGTTCTTCAGCCCTCTTGGAACCAAGTAGTATGGGAGGTGGGTAGTGAAGAGACGAGGAGATGGACTTTCATCAAAATCCAGTTTTTCAAACATGTACTCAAAATAGGGGACTCGATCTGCAGTTTCCAGATGTTCAGTTCTTTTGCGATGTTCTTCAAAGTAAATCAAGCTTAATATCTGCTGACACCAGATGGTTCCTATAAAAGAGACAATTTTGTTTTTAATAATGCATGGATTTCATAAAAATATGTGTGATCACTTTTTAAATCAAATAAAGTTTGTTTTCACAATAGCTATAATAATAATTTCATTTGCATGGACTTCTCTTCATTATAAATGATGGGCAAAGAGCAATAAATATTGCTTTTAGTTTTCCTTTTAAGGAGATATTTCATGACAAACTCCATGGGTGTTCTTCACAGAGATTCCTTCTTTTTTGCATTCTTTTGCTTCTTACATGGTACTTTTCAAATTACTTTCTATGCTACATCTATAAGTTTTTTTCTCAGCCCTATTCCTACAACATTAGCTACTATGAGCACAGAAGGAACTTCCATTGAAGAAGTAACTTTTGTGTTTTTTCATGTTACCATCGATTCCCGCTTAAGGACATAGTGTTTAATAAGTAGCTACAAAAGAATCTTTCACAACTACATTTAAATAGAAATTTAATAACTCAAGTTTGACCTTTGGCTCTTGGTGGGATTTGAAAAAAATAATTTGGATTAATTGCAATTACAGTGGACATTTGTGATTAAATGTGTATAATTCCCTTTTTAGTTTTCTTATACTTCTTGTGCATGATTAATATATCCTAAGATTTAAAACACTTCTTGTATAAAGATAGTGCTTCTGCTGATTTCAGTCCAAACGTGTTGAAAAGATTTACTCCACCACAAAGTCACAAGTCCCAAAGGCATATCAATCAGATTCCTAAGTATTTATGCACTCAACATTAACAACCCCAGATTTACAAAATGAACTCTTCTTGAGTTCATTGAAGTACTTGAACAATATGATAAACCACAACACTATAAGAGACTTCAAAATGCACTAATGAAACTGGATAGATCGGCTAGGCGCCTGTGGCTCAAGTGGCTAAGGCGCCAGCCACATACACCTAAGGTGGCGGGTTCGAATCCAGCCCAGACCCGCCAAACAACAATGAC